CCCCCACGCAAGGCTCTAAGATGAGACTTTGTCGTCGTCATCGCCGCCGCCGCCGCCACCGCGACGTCGTCGTCGTCGTCGCGCTGTCCTCGAGCCCTCGATCGTGTAAGCGTGGGCTCTGCAGACCCCCAAGAGACCCTCCCAGAGAACCCCCGGAGACCCCCCACGAGAGGCTCTAAGATGAGACTTTGTCGTCGTCGTCGTCGCCGCCGCCACCGCGACGTCGTCGTCGTCGTCGCGCTGTCCTCGATCACTCGATCGTGAAAGCGTGGGCTCTACAGACCCCCAAGAGACCCTCCAAGAGAACCCCGAGACACCCCACGCAAGGCTCTAAGATGAGACTTAGTCGTCGTCGTCGCCGCCGCCGCCACCGCGACGTCGTCGTCGTCGTCGCGCTGTCCTCGATCCCTCGATCGTGTAAGCGTGGGCTCTACAGACCCTCCTGAGACCCTCCAAGAGAACCCCAAGAGACCCCCCCACGCAAGGCTCTAAGATGAGACTTTGTCGTCGTGGTGGACGCCGCCGCCACCGCGACGTCGTCGTCGTCGCGCTGTCCTCGACCCGTCGATCATGTAAGAGTGGACTCTACAAACCGTCCAAGAGAACCCCAAGAGACGTCGTCGTCGTCGTCGTCGTCGTCGTCGTCGTCGCCGCTCCCAGAGCCTTCGGGGCCTCTCCTTGGCCCTCCTACGGAAAATCCTGCAAAACCTAGCGAATTAGTCGAGACATCCTCGAAATTCCTGCGCGCTGGACGCGGCACGCGCGAGACATCCTCGGAATTCCTGCGCGCGAATCTTCCTTTGCATCCAAGTCCTGACCGAACTGATCTGGATCTGAAGCTCGAGCTTCCTGAACACATAGTAGCTGCCCCAGAGCTAATTGACAGGGGGACATGCCAGGAGGACGCGCCGCGAAACGTCCCCAGGGACGCGCCAGGCGACGTGCCAAGGGACGTCCCATGGGGTCGCACCGTAGGCCGTGCCAAGGGGACGCGCTACGGGACATCCTCAAAATTCCTGCGCGCGGGACGTGGCACGCGCGAGACATCTTCCGAATTCCTGCGAGCGGGACGTGAAAACAAGCATTTCGCCTGAGACATCCTCTGAATTCTGGCCCCCCACGAGGCCCCCGCTCGAGACATCCCCAAGTTTGCAGAAACCAGCGTTTCGCTCGAGACATCCTCAACAAATTATGAAAAACAAGCGTTTCGCTCGAGACATCCGGTCAAAATTCTAAGAAATCCTGACAAAACAAACTAATTAGTCGAGACATCCTCGAAATTCCTGCGCGCGGGACGCGGCCCGCGCGAGACATCCTTGGAATTCCCGCGAGCGGGACACGAAAACAAGCATTTCGCCTGAGACATCCTCTGAATTCTGGCCCCCCGCTCGAGACATCTCCAAATTTTGCGAAAACCAGCGTTTCGCTCGAGACATCCTCCACAAACTATGTAAAATAAGCGTTTCGCTCGAGACATCCTGCCAAAGTTCTAAGAAATCCTGACAAAACAAGCGAATTAGTCGAGACATCCTCGAAATTCCTGCGCGCGGGACGCGGCACGCGCGAGACATCCTCGGAATTCCTGCGCGCGGGGCGCTTTTCCGAGTCGCGGTCGGGGCTCTAGACCCCGTTATTTTTCGAGGATTCTGCGAAAAACGCTCCGCACCCTCTTTTTTACGAGGGAAAGCGGGGGTCTGCGGACCCCGTTATTTATCGAGGATCCGAGATGGGGGGCGAACTTTCCTCGAGCGGGCACGCACAAAACGCACTTTTTCTAAAAAAATCAACACTTTACCTCGTTATTTATCGCAAATAATTTCGCCGGCGCTTGACCCGTCAGATCCGGGGGTAAACGGCTAAAAGAGAACCCTGGGCCCGCGCCCTTTCCGGGAAAAAATCCCGGCGGCGGAGAACCGCGCAGTCGCGCAGTCACGCGCGCAGGGGGGCAAGGCAGCCAGGGCAAAGAAACCTTAAGTTGCACTCGGAGCAGTTCACTGAGCACGCTGAGTACACTGGCTTAACACACGCGCCAATCATGTCGGGACACCCGAACTCAGGGGCGTCGGCACAGTCGACCCCTATGTGGCAGCATTCTTCTTGCTTGCGATATCTCGATTCGTTCGAGCGAGCGGCGCGCGCCAATCGCGACGGCGCCCCCGACGTCGACCGCGGCCCCCGCCGCCTCGCAGGCGCTCTAGGTCGAACCCTTGGCGAGCGGGCCGTCGAGATGGAGGCCCGGGTAGGATTTGCCATCGGCCGCGATGAGGGCGCCATGTGATTTGCGTCTCGGTCTTCAGCAATTCCCAGACCCGGATTGCCCAACTCTTCCGGCGGGCCCACCGTTTTCGATCGTTCGGTTATCGGCGATTTCAACAAGGCCATGCAATCTCGGGGTTGTTACACTGCTGCTTGTCCTTGAAAACGTCACCAGAGAATGAATCTTCAGAAGGGTCGTCAGCAGCGCCAAGCTCTGAACTGGGCAGGGTCTCGTGTTCCTGACGAAGCAGCTCGACTAAGCATCGGGTTGGCCATCACTTTCCCCCTCGTGCGTTCAGGCAGCGTCGCCAGGCAATGAGGACAAAAAGGCCACATGCCTCGTCATCCAAAGACACCTCAACGGCTGGTATTATTGCGCCTATGTTAAATATTTGTCCACCCCAGACGCAACTGGCCGAAAGGGAGAAACGTGGCCGCTAGACACGGAGACAACGAGATTCACGCTCGCACTCTGCGAAGAGCGTGGAGTCTGGCCCGTGACAGCACCAGGGTCTTGGAAGACGACTTCCGGAGCTTCTTTAAAGCCGCGTGGATGTTCTGGCGCGCCAAAAACAGCATCTTCATCATCAGTTCCTGAAGGGAGTGCCTCCTGGTCTCGCGGAAGACCTTTCGGCTGATAACCGAGTGTTTTGCCTATATATCGTCATGTTAGGTGAACGCGCATTGTGAGTGATGGGTTGTTATGCTTGTTGATCTAGGACTTCTAGTAGATCATGGGGAACTCCCACTACGAATTGGTGAGTACATGGCTGAGTAAGTCCTTGAAGCAGAACTACTCTAGGCAAAGTATGATGTAACCGTATGCGCGTGAGTGTGGCGGGCCCGCCCGGCCGGCCGGCGCGCGCTTTTGTTTGAATATCGATCACAGCTGCGGAGACAGTCCTTCCGCATGATCCATGGCCTACCTACATTCTGCAAGGGAAAAGAGCAGAGGGCTGCAAAACGTTAGGCGAAGGGAGTGTTGGTAATGACTTCTTCCTCCTCCTCCTCCTCCACCTGGTTACTCCTACTCCTCCTCCCCCTCTTCCTCCTCTTCACATCATCGTCACGATCATCAGCACAAGCATCATGATCATCATCGTCGTCGTCGTAATTGTCATTATCGTCGTAGCCATCATAATGATCATCATCCTCCTCGTCATCATCATCATCATCATCATCATCATCATCATCATCATCATCATCATCATCATCATCATCATCCACCTCCACCTCTGCCTCTTCCTTCTTATCGTCGTAGTCGTCGTCGTCGTCCTCCTCCTACTCCTCCTCCTCCTCCTCCTCCTCCTCCTCCTCCTCCTCCTCCTCCCCCTCCTCTCCTCCTCCTCTCCTCCCCTCCTCCTCCTCCCCTCTACTCCTCCTCCTCCTCCTCCCCTCCTCCTCCCTCCCCTCCTCTCCTCCTCCTCCTCCTCCTCCTCCTCTCCTCCTCCTCCGTCCTCCTCCTCCTCCTCCTCCTCCTCCTCCTCCTCTCCTCCCCTCCTCCTCCTCCTCCTCCTCCATCCGCCTCATCCTACTCCTCCTCCTCCTCCTCCTCATCCTCCTCCTCCTCCTCCCTCTCCTCTCCTCCTCCTCTCCTCCCTCCCCTCCTACTCATCCTCTCCCCTCCTCCTCCTCCTCTTCCCCTCTCCTCCTCCTCCTCCTCTCTACTCCTCCTCCTCATCCTCTCCTCCCCTGCCTTCCTCCTCCTCCTCATCCTCCTCCTCCCTCCCATCATCCTTATCACCTCCTCCACCTCCTCACTCAGCCTCCTCCTCACTCCTCCTCCTCCTCCTCCTCCTCCTCCTCCTCCTCCTCCTCCTCCTCCTCCCCCTCAGCCTCGTAAATGTCAACGTCGTCGGTGGCGTCCGTGTCGGCGTCGTGGTCGGCGTCGACGTCGGCGTCGGCGTCGGCGTCGTCTTCGTCAGCGTCACTATCATCATCATCATCATCATCATCATCATCATCATCATCATCATCATCATCATCATCATCATCATCATCATCATCATCATCATCATGACAATCATCATCATCGACATCATGATGATGATCATCATCATCATCATCATCAGCAGCACCATAATCTTCAGCACCAGAAGCAGCATCAGCATCAACATCAGCAGCAGCACCAACATCGGCATCACCATCATCATCAACATCACCATCACCACCATCACCATCACCATCACCATCACCAGCACCAGCACCAGCACCGTAACCATCATCATCACCACCATCACCACAAAACACCATCACCGCCATCATCAGCAAAGGGACAGCGGCGCAAAAATCCTCATCACCACCACTTCCACCATCAACACCACCGTCCTCCTCCTCCTCCTCCTCCTCCTCCTCCTCCTCCTCTTCCTCTTCCTTATCCTCCCTCATCCTCCTCCTATTGTCCCCCTCGCCCTCCCCCTTACCTCCATCATCATCATCATCATCATCATCATCATCACAGCCACCACCACCACCACCACCACCACCATCATCATCATCATCATCATCATCATCATCATCATCATCATCATCATCATCATCAACATCATCATCCCCCTCCCCCCCGTCGTTCCATTTCCTCCTCCTCCCCCTCCTCCTCTTCAACCACCTCCTCCTCCGCGCGCGGGCGAAGGAAGACGAGATGGAACGACAGGGAACAGGGGGATGCAGGACAGAGGAAGAGAAAGATCGTGCGCCTCTCCGCTCGGAAATTGCCCCACCCCACCCTCCACCCCCCAGCGCACGGTAGTTGATCGTGAAGGCGCTCCGGTACGACCGCGAGGCCTCGCGCGGGCGCCAACACGCGCTCGGCTTTCACGCGCGCGAGAAGGTTCGGACAGCCCCTATCGAACGGGAGGAAGAAAAACAGGAAGAGGGAACGATAGAGATAGGACCGAAATCAACTCTTAACGGTGGGCGTGGCGATCCTGGTTCCCAACTGTGGGACTGCTGACTGGACAAAATCCGCCGACCGTGTCGGCGTATGAAAAGATGCTGCCGTCGCCGTCGTCGACGACGACGTCGTTGTCGCCGTTGCCGCTAGTCCCCAAGAAAATGAAAAACGTCGTACTTCACTCGACGGGAAGCACCTTCCATTTGATCCCTTCGCCGCCGGGGCGGGTGGGGTCCCGGGGAGAGGGGTCACGGATAGGGTGGGTGGGGGGGGCCACAAATCAGAACGCAGTCTCCCCCATTGGTCTCGGGGGGTGGTGGTCCTGTGGGCAACGGGAAGTCGAGCCCCCCGCCCTCCCTCCGCGCGACCGAGTGTTTGTGTGCCCGTTTCGGTGATTGCGTGGCTTAGCGCGTGTTTCCGTGACCTGGCGCGCGGCCCGATGGGTGTTACTGTGGCCCGCGCTGGCTTCCCAATGAGAAGTCTTCACCACTGGACATCTCTTACAAGGTCGCACTCGCGCCCAGAAACAATCGCCCACACAGAAACCCATCTTGATGTGCATTGAAAGCGAACTGGTCGTGATAGTAGCAGTAGTAGCAGTAGTGGTAATAGTAGTAGTAGTAGTAGTAGTAGTAGTAGTAGTAGTAGTAGTAGTAGTAGTAGTAGTAGTAGTAGTCTTAGTAGTAGTAGTAGTAGTAGTAGTAGTAGTAGTAGTAGTAGTAGCCGAAGTCGTAGTCGTAGTAGTAGTCGTAGTCGTAGTAGTAATGATAGTAGTAGTAGTAGTAGTAGTAGTAGTAGCAGTGGTAGTAGTAGTACTACTACCACTACTACTACTACTACTACCACTACTACTACTACTACTACCACTACTACTACTACTACTACTACTACTACTACTACTACTGGCGGTCTCGTGCACCACATCACCACGGCTCAACCACCTAGGGAAGAGCGCCCTTGTGGCTGCCTAATTGCCAGTATGTAGCGCGCACCTCTTCTCGGTGAAACGGCGGGCCTGACACGCTTGCATCGTCAGGCGCTTGCACAGTGGGCAGTTGGACCAACTGCCCAAAGTGAAGCGCCAGCAACGGCACAGCAGCACACGGGGCGACCCCAGCACCGCCACCCAGGCCGACAAGCGCGATAAGACGCGAGGCGCGGCCAGGATGGCAAGCCAAGGGCGGGTCTGACGTGCGCGCAGCAGCAGGCGCCAGGCCGAGTGCAGCTGGTCCCCACAGCAAAAAAGCCAGGCGCTGGCGGCGGCGTAGCAGCACACGGGGCGACCCCAGCACCGCCACCATGGCCTACAAGCGCAAGAAGGCGCGAAAGGAGGCCAAGATGGCAAGCCAAAATGGCCAGGCGCCCGACGGCGACGCTGCAGTACACGGGGCTGCCCCAGCACCGCCAGCGGGGCCAACGAGCGCAAGTGAACGTGAGGAGGCCGACGCGGCAAGCCTGCTGGCGAGCCAAGGTGGCTGAGCGCACAGGTAGTCATGCGCCCAGCCGAGGCGAGAGCCACGGGCGCAGCAACGCGCGGGAGGGGCGCCGCCGCGGGCACTCCGCACTATAGAACGTGGCCAGTTAGACAACTTGGCATGGACCCACGTGGCCTGCCGAGGCCCTGGAATCTGCTGGGCGTTATCGCTCAGGCCTGCTGGCCTGCTCCCTGCGCGATGGCAGCAAAGACCTGCGACGGCAGCGCCCGCGCCTCCCCGCCGAGGTCGCCGCTGCCCCCCGCCTGTCCTGAGGGCCCAAAGATCTGGCGCTCAAGGTCTGCACCAAGGGCCACGCGCAGGGCTGCAGCGCTTGGGATCTGCTGCGGGAGCGGGTCCGTCTGCGGCGGCGGGTGCGTCGGCGGCGGCGGCGCATCAGGGGCGCCGACGGCGGCGGCGGCGGCGGGCCCATGATGGCCGCGGCCTCTGGCGGGACCCCCGCTGGCGGCGGCGGCGGGCCCTGGCCGCCGCGGGCCCCGCTCGCTGGCGGGGCGCCGGCGCTGCGCACGGGGGCGGCGCGCGGGGCGGCCCCTGCGCCACCCCCGCCGCCCGAGAGGCCGCCCGCCTGCAGGTCGTGGCGGCGCTCGTAGAGCGCCAACTCCCTGCGCGCCATCTCCAGGCGCTCCCTCTCGGCTTCGTTCCGCGCCTTCTTGCTGTAGCCCGCCCATTCTGGATCGCTCAGTCCCCAGGCGACCTGCGCGCAGAGGTCGGTCCACTCGAACGTGGGCGAGCTCTCCCAGGCGAGCCCCTCCACCAGCACATAGTGGCCCTCCCACTGCGCCCGGCGCGGGGCATAGCGCTCGAAGACGGCCCCAACCGCCAGCGGCTCAACCTTGGGCAGGCACTTCACTCAGGAGGTCCACCGCGTTGATCACTGAGACCCCCTCCTTCTCGAGCTCGTCGTAGCGCAGCAGGGCCTCCAGGTCGCGGATGTCCCCCTCGGGATGCTCCGCGTGCACGCAGTACGCGTGTGGCGGATCCGCCTCCTCAATGAACTCGATGCAGACTCCGTAGGAGGTCGGGTAGCGCGCCCCGCAGTGGCAGTACCAGCGCTGGCCCGTTTCTCCCGCTGCCTCCTGGGCGCATGAGAACAGCTGTGACCAGCGATCCGATCGGATCACCGAACAGCACCCCCTGGGATTATCCCAGGTCTTGTTGGCCGCGCACTTGTAGTACATGTTGAACGTGAAGCCCTGCCACGGTAGAACTGGTCCGTGTAGTCGCCCATGCGGCGGTAGGCCTCCTGCGCCGAGGTGTTGCCCTGGCACTCCTCTTTCCAGGCACGTTTGTGTCCCAGGTGGGCATATGCGATCCCCGAAGCTTCCAGGAGACCCCTCTTCAGCCTCCCCGCTACTACTACTACTACTACTACTACTACTACTACTACTACTACTACTACTACTACTACTACTACTACTACGACGACTACTACTACGACTACTACTACTACTACGACTACTACTACTACTACTACTACTACTACTACTACTACTACTACTACTACTACTACTACTACTACTACTACTACTACTACTACTACTACTACTACTACTACTACTACTACTACTACTACTACTACTACTACTACTACTACTACTACTACTACTACTACTACTACTACTACTACTACTACTACTACTACTACTACTACTACTACTACTACTACTACTACTACTACTACTACTACTACTACTACTACTACTACTACTACTACTACTACTACTACTACTACTACTACTACTACTACTACTACTACTACTACTACTACTACTACTACTACTACTACTACTACTACTACTACTACTACTACTACTACGACTACTATTATTACTACTACTACTACTCCGCCGCTACGAAAGTTCGGCCAAAACTCAACGCCTCCCGGTAGGCGACGAAGCCCCAGTACAACGGCGGCAGTGGGCCCGTTAGGCCGCGGGGCCCCAGTACAATGTTCGGTTGAAGCATTTTTCGCTCCAGTCTCGGGCGGTACCGCCCTTTCGAAATCGAGCCCGCGGGTTTCGAAATCCAGTCGAGCTCGTTTTGGGGGGGAAGTCCTGTGCGAAAGCCACATTTCGAAATCGAGCCCGAGGGTTTCGAAATCCAGTCGAGCTCGCTTTGGGGAGGAAGTCCTAAGCGAAAGCTGCATTTTCGAGTTTTCGGGTCAGGGCTTCTAAAATTTTAAATGCCAAGCGGTGTGGCCATTTCGAAACGGCGGTTTCGCTCGATACTTCCTCGAAAAAACGATTTCGAACGATTTCGAAACTTTCGGGCTCGATTTCGAAATGGCGCTCCCGCCTCGGACTTCCGCAACAATAGAATTCGAAACCTTCCTGCTTCGATTTCGAAATGGCGCTCCCGCGCAGGACCTCCTCAAACATAGAAATCGAAACCTTTTTGCCTCGATGTCGAAATGGCGCTCTCGCACACGACTTCCTGCAAAATGGTGTGATGCTCAGGCGCTGTTTAGCTGAAAAACACAAAACGGGTCAAAACCTTCGTAGCGCCGATGTAGTAGTAGTAGTAGTAGTAGCATTAGTAGTAGTAGTAGTAGTAAAAAGTAGTAGTAGTAGTAGTAATAGTAGTAGTAGTAGTAGTAGTAGTAGTAGCCGTGGTAGTAGTAGTGGTAGTAGTAGTAGTAGTAGTCGTAATAGCAGTAGTAGTAGTAGTAGTAGTAGTAGTAGTAGTAGTAGTAGTAGCCGTGGTAGTAGTAGTAGTAGTAGTAGTAGTAGTAATGGTAGCAGTAGTAGTAGTAGTAGTAGTAGTGGCAGTAGTTGTAGTAGTAATAGTAGTAGTGGTAGTAGTAGTTGTAGTATTAGTAGTATTAGTAGTAGTAGTAGTAGTAGTAGTAGTAGTAGTAGTAGTAGCAGTGGTAACAGAAGTGGTAGTGGTCGTAGTAGTAGAAGTACGACTACTAGTAGCAGAAGTAGTACTAGTAGTCGTAGCAGTAGTGGTAGTAGTAGCGGTGATACTCGCAATACCGCATACAACTAGCAGAAGTAGTTAGTGGAACCAACAGTAATAATAGTAGTAGTAATAGTAACAGTAGTAGTAGTCGGAATCGTAGTCGTGGTAGTAGTAGTAGTGATAGTAGTAGTCGCAGTAGTAGTAGTAGTAGTAGTAGTAGTAGTACGAACGGTGGTAGTAGTAGTAGTAGTAGTAGTTGTGGTTGCAGTAGTGGTAGTAATGGTTGTGGTAGTAGTAGCAGTAGTAGTAGTAATAGTACTCGTAGTCGGAATCGTTCTCGTAGCCGTTGTCGTAGGAGTGTCAGTAGTAGTACTACTACTACTACTACTACTACTACTACTACTACTACTACTACTACTACTACTACTACTACTACTACCACCACAAATATTACTACTACTACTACTACTACTACTACTACTACTACTCTGGTA